CCACTTTTTAAATAATGTACCTGTGAGATTGGCACACAAAGAGATTGGTAAGTTTTTCTTTGAGATAAGAGTCAGGAAGGTAAGAATGGTGCTGTTACTACTGATAAGTTTATGAATAATGAGGAGGGAAGTTGGGAGAGTTCATGCTTAAAGGCTTTTAACGGATGGGAAGAGCTATGAGAAAAGGAGGAACTGTATCAGTCAGGATGGGCTAGGTTCTAGGTTACACAGTGGTAATAACTTCAAAATCTCGATGTGTTAACACAAGTTTGTTTCTTGGTCACAATACACATCCAGTGGAAGTCAGCGTGGAGTCTCAGGAACCACTCAGGGCCCCAAGCTAACTGCGTAGGGTGAGGCAGGGGAGGTGAAGGAAGATACAACATGGAGAATCACCTGCAAGCTCTTAGAACTTCACACTAAAAGTAACATATGCACTTCCACTTACATCTCATTGGCCCAGACGAGTCTTGTAAACAGGCCTAATTTCAAAGAGGGTAGAAAAGTGCAATTTTATAGGTGCCGGGAAATCGGTGGAAGTATGTGTGAACAGCCTTACTACTGCAGGAATTAAGAACAAATAGACTGATAAACAGCCTTCTGGAAAAGTTCAGTTTGGAAACAATAACTATGTAATGGTGTGGGATGATTATAGGTGGTTTGTTAGCAACATATAGCAGCATAGAAGCAAAGAAAATTAGATGCTTGAATGTATATAGGATTCAGATTATTATGGGGAGCATATACCTGAAGGATTTGGGGAAGAGGGGTCAAGGAAGATGATGAGCAAAGGGATTATTGACATCGCAATCAAAGACAATGTTTCCAAATTTTAGAATTCAAAGGAATAGAAGGGATACAATTTTTCACAATACACGATAGCCATGAACAGCAAATTTTAAAGTTTTTTAGTGTTTATCATCCTTAAGGCTTTCGTGGAGATTATTTTTCAGGTTACACACATTGAATGTGATTAAATGTTAAATTATTTTGTTTTCATCAAATGGTATAATATCAGAAGGAAACATTTATATTAAGGAAATAACCTTCCTTTCCCATATTAGAATGTCTCGCCTGATAAAATCTGATAAAAGTCTGGTAACCAAGTATTGCAGGAAACAGTAAAGGGTTGGCCAGAAATCAGTGAGATCAAACAATAACTGCAAGTTCAGTGCTCTTTACAAAATGATGCTTGCTTCCTGACAGTTATAAAAACACAAGGTCATAGAGATTGTGATGGTCCAGAGTGCATTGCCATAAGAGCTTTGCAGTGGGTTTCCCCATTTAATATGAAAGAGTGTCTATGTAATACACTTAAAAATCTTTTTTATTGTGAAATATACGTAACAAAATTTACCATTCTAAGTATATAGTTTAGTGTCCTTAAGTACAGTCACATTGTTATGCAATCGTCACCACCATCCAGCCCCAGAACTTTTTTATCTTCTTAAACTGAAATTCTCTACCCATTAAAGAACAGCTCCCCACTCTCTCCTCCCACCAGCCCCTGGCAACCACCATTCTACCTTCTGTCTCTGAATTTGAGTACTTCATAAAGGTGGAATTATGCAATATTTGTCCTTTTGTGTCTGGGTTATTTCATTTAATATAATGACCTGAAGGTTCATCCATGTTGTGGCACGTATCAGAACTTTATTCCTTTTTAAGACTCAACGATATTCCGTTGTATGATTTACCACATCTTGTTTATCCATTCATCGGTTGCTGGACATTTGGGTTGTTATGCCTTTTGGCTGTTGTGAGAAATGCTGCTGTGAACGTTGTGCAGTGTTTTAAGTCCTTGACTTCAGTTCTTTTGAGTACGTACCCAAAAGTGCAATTGCTGGATCCTATGGTATAGTTCTATGTTTAATTTTTTGAGGAACTACCATACTATTTTTCATGGCAGCTGCCCCATTCCCACCAGCAATGCGCAAGAGCTCCAGTTTCTCCATATCCTTGTCAATGCTTGTTATTTTCTTTTTTTTAAAATAAGTATCTTATTGTGGTATGTAACCCACTCTTAACTAAATAAATTACACTGTTTTAAAGTTATTTTTTATTTAATAAACTTCAGAGCCTACCATTGTTCTCTAAGCCAGTCTTTGACCTGAGAACTTCTGTTCATGTTGCGTTGCACCCTGTAGTATCTGTGTGTGTGTACTTCTCTCCTCCAGTCTAGGACTGAGAATATGTGGAAAAGCAATATAGGAATTATTCCTCAAATTACAAACTTGCCTTGCATGGTCCTCTCCCCCAAGGCACAATTTAGTTTAATCCTGTGACTGTCTATGATTTTCTTGGTTCTCTTCCATTTTTCATTTATAAAATGAGGGCACAGTTACATTATTTACCTGTAGAATCATTTTTCTGTCAATAGCTAAAAGACTTAAAAAGTTAAGGATCTTTAAAATTTTTTTATTTTCATATTTTGTTTGACATATAAATCATTTTTAATATTAGTCTGTGCAAGTATATTTGATGGTAGAGAACCAAAATTTTTAATAATGCCATTATAGTTATTTCATTTTTTTTTCCATTAATAGAGATACTATATAGGTTCATCTTCTATGTCATTATGGGTTCTGCAAAAATCCATCTCTACGCTGCCTAAAGCTGTTATTTGGGCACATTGTTGAAATTGCCACAATGCCATTCGTGATGTTTTAGCCACTCTTTTAAAATGGAATTCTAATGGGAGGAATTGCAGAGGCCTTACATTGCATTCAAGACAGAAGAAATGATGTGTTCAAAATCATGTGGTCAGGAGAAAGCGTCACATATTTGATACAAATAGATTGGTATATGCAATGCTGGAGTGCACACGTGGAAATCATGAGATGATGGCAAGAGGAATAGATAGAAGCCACGTCATGATGAAACTTTGT